GCTGAAAACCCGTTTTTTGGTGTCATCCCAGCCCCACCATCGCCAAAAATCCATTTTTTGGTGTCAACTTGGCCCCACCATCACCAAAAACCTGTTTTTTGGTGTCATCCTGGACCCACCATCGTTGAAAACCCATTTTTTGGTGTCATCCTGGCCTGACCATCACCAAAAACCTGTTTTTGGTGTCATCCTGACCCCAACATTGCCGAAAACCTGTTTTTTGGTGTCATTCTGGACCCACCCTGACTGAAAACGTGGTTTTTGGTGTCATCGTGGGCCCATCATGACCAAAAACCCGGTTTTTGGTGTCATTCCGGCCCCACCATCGCCAAAAACCCATTTTTGGTGTCATCCTGGCCCCATCATTGCCAAAAACCCGGTTCTTGGTGTCATCCCAGCCCTGCCATTGCCGAAAACCCGTTTTTTGGTGACATCCTGACCCCACCATCACTGAACACTTATTTTTTTTGGTTTCATCTTGGACCCACCATTGCTGAAAACCCATTTATTGGTGTCATCCTGGCCCTACCATCGTGGAAAACCCATTTTTTTTGTGTAATTCCAGCCCCACCGTTGCCAAAAACCCCATTTTTGGTGTCATCCCGGCCCCTCCATCGCCAAATGTGGTGCTTCACAGGGGATGCAGATGACAATGGTGGCCCCAGGTGCCTGTGAAACCCCTAATTACAGTGCGTTTAACCCCCCAATTAAGGATTATTTCCCCCCCGAGGTGGATTTACGCCCCCAATTAAGGATTATTTTGGTTGTGTGTGTTTTAAAAGCCAGCAGGTTGGGTAGCAGGGGCTCATGGACCCTGGTGGTACCACTGCTGACGCTACCTTTGAAGCAGGTGATGAAGTTCTTCACCTTGGCATCGTCCAGGAAGAGCTGCGAAGGGAAGTGAGAGGCATCAGCGTGGCCTCCATGAATAGGGGGCTTAATTAACACCTCATTTTAATGAGTCTGCTCATTAGTGGCCCAAAGCGATGGTTTGTTACGGAGCAGTTACCCAAGGTTGAGCTGGAACTGCACTGGGAAGAACCATGAAGGACCTGGTCAACCTGGGAGAACCACGGGGGACCAGGTCAACCCAGGGAGCACCATCCAGGACCAGGTCAAGCCACAAAGACCCACATGGGACCAGGTCAACCTGGGAAGGCTCATGAGGAGACCAGGTCAACCTGAAAAGACCTTAAGGAGACCAGGTCAACCCAGGAAGGTCATGGGAGACTCCGTCAACCCAGGGGAGCTATGAGACCAGGTCAACCTGCAAAGAACCATAGGGCATCAGGTCAACAGGAGAAAATAACGGGTGACCAAGTCAACATGGGAGAATCGAGAGGAGATTGAGGCAACCTATGAAGTCCTACCGGGGATCAGGTCAACCCAAGAAGGTCATAGGAGACCCTGTCAACCCAGGGGAAACATGAGGGGTCAGGTCAACCCGAAAGAGTCATTGAGGGACAAGGTCAGCATGGGATTGTCACTGGGGACCAGGTCAACCCAAGAGAATCATGGGGGGACCAGGTCAACTCAGGAGAACCAAAGGGGAGCCAGGTCAACCATAGGGGGACCAGGTCAACATGAGAGCATCATCGGGGATGAGGTCAACCCATAGGGCTCATGGGGGCCCAGCTCAACCTGGGACTGTCACCGGGGACCAGGTCAACCCAGGAGAACCATGGTACCAGGTCAACCTGTTAAGGGCCATAGGGGCATCCAGGTCAACCCAGGAGAACCATGGTGTGACCAGGTCAACTCACAGGGCCATGGGGGGCCTCGGTCAACCTGGGACCATCACTGGGGACTAGGTCAACCTGTAGGGCCATTGGAGGACCAGGTCAACCGCAGACCATCACTGGGGCCCAGGTCAACGCCAGAGAACCACGGGGGCACCAGATCAACCCACAGGGCCATGGGGGGCCCAGGTCAGCCCTGAAGAACCATGGGGGCACCAGATCAACCTGTATGGCCATGGTGGAACCAGATCAACCCAGGACCATCACCGGGCACTGAATCGACCCGTAGGGCCATGGGGGGACCAGGTCAACCTGGGACCTTCACTGGGGCCCAGGCCAACCTAGAAGAACCATGGTGGGCCCAAGTCAACCCACAGGGCCATGGGGGGCCCAGGTGAACCCAAGGGAACCAAGGGGGGACCAGCTCAACCCGGGATCTTCACTGGGGCCCAGATCAACCCATAGGGCCATGGGGGGTCCGGGTCAACCCAGAGAACCCCGGCGACACCCCGAGAAGGGCCACATGGCCCGGATGGGCGCCCCGCGGCGGGGAGCCGCTTCGCCCCGACCCGCACGGCCCGGTTGGTCCCGGTGGGGCCCAGTCAGTCCCAGTTGATCCCAGTTGGTCCTGATCAGTCCCAGTCCTGGTTGGTCCCAGTGTGTGCTGGTGGGTCCCAGTCGGTCCCGGTGGGTCCCAGTAGGTCCCAGTGGGTCCCAGTCCGTCCTGCTCGGTCTCGGTCAGTCCTGGTGGGTCCCAGCTGGTCCTGCTCGGTCCTGGTGGGTCCCGGTCAGTCCTGGACAGTCCCGGTTGGTCCCAGTGGGTCCCACTCAGTCCTGCTCAGTCCTGGTGGGTCCTGTTCAGTTCTGGCTGGTCCTGCTTGGTCCCAGTTGGTCCCGCTGGGTCCCAGTTGACCCTGATCGGTCCCAGTGGGTCCTGGTGGGTCCCGGCTGGTCCCACTCAGTCCCGGCTGGTCCCACTCAGTCCGGGTGGGTCTTGGCCAGTCCCGTTCGGTCCCGGTTGGTCCCACTCAGTCCTGGCTGGTCCCAGTCAGTCCCGGTCGGTTCCAGTTGGTCCGGGTGTGTCCCAGTTGGTCCCAGTAGGTCCTGGTCAGTCCTGGCTGGTCCCGGCTGGTCCCAGTGTGTCCCGGTGTGTCCTGGCTGGTCCCGCTCAGTCCTGGTGGGTCCCAGTAGGTCCCGCCCAGTCCCAGTGGATCCCAGTCGGTCCCAGTGTGTCCCGGTGTGTCCTGCCCAGTCCCGGTGGATCCCAGTGTGTCCCGACTGGTCCCGGTGGGTCCTGGTCAGTCCTGGTCGGTTCCAGTGGGTCCCGGTGGGTCCCAGTCGATCCCGGTCAGTCGCAGTCTGTCCCAGCTGGTCCTGCTCGGTCACGGTGTGTCCCGGTGTGTCCTGGTGTGTCCCGGTCAGTCCCAGTCTGTCCCAGCTAGTCCCGGTGTGTCCCGGTGTATCCCAGTCAGTCCTGGCCGGTCCTGGTGTGTCCCGGTTGATCCCGCTCGGCCTGCTCGGTCCCGGTCAGTCCTGGTGGGTCCCGCTCGGTCCCGGTTGATCCCGCTCAGGCCTGCTCGGTTCTGGTGTGTCCCAGTGTGTCCCGGTCAGTCCCAGTCAGTCCCGGTGTGTCCCGGTCAGTCCCGGCTGGTCCCGGTCAGTTCCAGTCGGTCCCGGTGGGTCCCGCCCGGTCCCGGCGTGTCCCGGTTGATCCCGCTCGGGCCTGCTCGGTCCCGGTGTGTCCTGGAGTGTCCCGGTCAGTCCCGGCTGGTCCCGGTCAGTTCCAGTCGGTCCCGCCCGGTCCCGGTGTGTCCCGGTTGATCCCGCTCGGGCCTGCTCGGTCCCGGTGTGTCCCGGTCAGTTCCAGTCGGTCCCGGTCAGTCCCGGCGGGTCCCGCTCGGTCCCGGTTGATCCCGCTCAGGCCTGCTTGGTTCTGGTGTGTCCCAGTGTGTCCCGGTCAGTCCCGGCTGGTCCCGGTCAGTTCCAGTCGGTCCCGGTGGGTCCCGCCCGGTCCCGGCGTGTCCCGGTTGATCCCGCTTGGGCCTGCTCGGTCCCGCTCGGTCCCGGTGTGTCCCGGTCAGTTCCAGTCGGTCCCGCCCAGTCCCGGTGTGTCCCGGCGGGTCCCGCTCGGGCCTGCTCGGTCCCGGTGTGTCCTGGAGTGTCCCAGTCAGTTCCGGCTGGTCCCGGTCAGTTCCAGTCGGTCCCGCCCGGTCCCGGTGTGTCCCGGCGGGTCCCGCTCGGGCCTGCTCGGTCCCGCTCGGTCCCGGTGTGTCCCGGTCAGTTCCAGTCGGTCCCGGTGTGTCCCAGCGGGTCCCGCTCGGGCCTGCTCGGTCCCGCTCGGTCCCGGCGGGTCCCGGCGTGCCCCGTGTCCCCCGGACACCTGGCCCTGGTGATCCACGTAGTAGAAGTACTCGCGGGTTCGCGGGCCGGGGCTCTGGCCCTGCCGGTACCCGGCACCCGCCGCCGCCCGCGCCGCCAGCCGCAGCCGCATCCGCCCCGCGCCGCCGGAAGCGGAACCGGCGCGAGGCGGAAGCGGAACCGAGCGCCCGCGGCGCCGCTCCCGGATCGTGTCCCCGCCCCCTCCCCGCGCTGCGCTCCGGGCGGCCCCGCCCGCCCCGGAGACCCCGTGTGGCCCCTATAGCCCCATATGGACCCCTATAGATCCATGTGTGTCCCATATGTACCGCCTATAGCTCCATATGGACCCCTATAGCTCCATATGTGTCCCCTATAACCCCATATGTACCGCCTGTAGCTCCATATGTGGCCCCTATAGCCCCATATGTACTGCCTATAGCTCCATATGTACCACCTATAGCCCCATATGTACCGCCTATAGCCCCATATGTGTCCCCTATAGCCCCATATGTACCACCTATAGCTCCATATGTACTGCCTATAGCTCCATATGTGTCCCCTATAGCCCCATATGTACTGCCTATAGCCCCATATGTACCGCCTATAGCTCCATATGTGTCCCCTATAGCCCCATATGTAC